CGCCAGCGCGTTTCCGGGCCGCTCCCCTCCCGGGAGGCCCTCCTGGCCGTGCGTCTTACACCCCTCAAGTCGGAATTCGCCCATCGACAGGGACGTTGCAAAATGGGTGCCTCGCTGAGCGCTCCACCTTGCTTGCTGCCGCTAGCTCCTGCGGGTGGCGCTCCGCTGCTCACCTGCCCTCTCGGCCGGCCGGCCGCGGAGCTCGTGCAGCCGCGATCTGCGCCCGGAGGAGGCCGCAGCAGCCCCGCGGAGCGCCCCACTGCGGAGCACGCGGACTGCTCGCCCCCGCGCCGCCGCGGCCGTCCCGATAGGCAAACTGACCACAGCGCTGCTCTGCTGTCGTGTCTTCTTTCTTTAGCACATTAACCTTACGCCTTTGCACTCCGTGTCAGCTCACGCTGCGTGCTGGAGGAGACGCCCGCTCCTGCAGGGGCCTCAGGGGAGACAGGGCGGCCACACGACCTCGGCCTGCACGCCCGCAGCCAGTCTAGGTGACCGCCACCACGGCCGGAGGAGGCCTTCGTCGCTCCCGAGCGGCCTTGCCAGAAGGCCTCATAACGCACACAAAGAACAGTATTCATTCCCCACGCGCGTGAAGGCAGGCAGATCACGACGACCATTTGCCGTCTGGTGCGAGCCTGGTCTCTCCTTGCAGGATGGAGATTAGCCTTTGCGTTTTCTGGACGGTGTGAACGCTAGCCATCCCTGGGCAGGAGGCAGAGAAAGGAAAACTCCCTCCGCTAAGCACTGCGGACGGGATTCCGTCCGTTCAGGAAGGATGTGCACGCGCCCTTGGTAACGTGCCGCCGTTCAAGGCCTTTGGAGGGTGAGCCAGTTTCCTGCACCTATATTTTTGAGGGGACAGAAACATTCGACCCATTGAAGTAGCAGAGAATTAAAGCATAAGGTCTTTTTGTAGAAATTCTGTACTTCCCGTTTCCTCTGGTAAGCATTTAGAAGTGACGTTATCACTTAATTCAATGAAAGTCTGAGCTAAAAGTCAGTTTTGATTCATCTTATATTTATGTGGAACGCTTCACAGATTTGATGCCATCCTCGCGCAGGTCCATGCTAAGCTTCTCTGTATTGTTCCAATTTTAGTCTATGTGCTGCCGCAGTGAGCTCCGAGAGTCAGTTGTGATTTGCCGTTCTCCTTAGATGGGGCTCATTTCCGATCTGTTCCGGTTGCTCCTGGTACAGGACATTCTGGGGCATTTTACCAAGAGCCTGCCTGCACAGGGGCCCTGTTTATTCACATGAATCATTACCTGCTCCCATTCACAACAGGAGCAATTAGTTGCTCTCTGACTGCCAGGCCTTTTCAGCTTAGGGGCTCAGCTTTTTTTGCAACTTAGCATCCTGCTTGATGTCTCAACATTGCCAAATATCTCCTTAGGTAAAGTCAGCCCTGTCTTCAGGCTTGAGGCCTCTCACTTTCCAGTTTGATCATAAGCCACAAAAATTCCCCAGCTCTCTCCTGGTTTGTTTGTCTCTGTTTTATGGTTCCAGTGTCCTCTTAGCCCCTGACGTAAGCAGATACCTGCAGAATAATGGTGTCTGGTGTTCACCATTCACCTGCTGCATTTTCCTTCTCTGGAATTGCAGTTCTTTTATCTTGCTTTAGCAGTTTCCTAAGGCCAACAAACAGGTGTTTTCTTAGAAGGGGCTTCTATCTTCCTACTTCTGGAGTACTACTGGTCAGCTCAGAAGTTCCAACTTTCTTT